CCATCAACACGCTAGCTGCAGCTGGTCGAACAGAGCAATCAATGTGGTGGCTGAAAACGACCTGTTAGGGAAGAGTGTTCGATAGAAGGGGATCAGCTAAACAGAAAGACAAAGGGAAGGGAGAGGGGTAAGGGTGACATAACAGGCAAAAAGAGGGAGGGAGGAATGTCTGAGAGTCAGGCGTAGAATGAGGCTGAGGTAATGAGACCGCAAGACTGAGGGCAGGAAAAGGAGGCTGGAGCAAACAGCCAATCAGCACTGAGCGGAGAAATCACAGTCAAAAGTGTAGAAAATATCACCAGTGTCCATCAGTGCCAGCTTTATTTCTGTTGAGGGCACCTAAGAAGGAAAGGAACCGGCTTGACTCTCAGATTCCAAGTTCGGGTTTTTTTCTACTGGCAGCTTTTACTCGTAAACTGAGCTTAATTGATCTGAAATCACTGAGACATAATAACCGTGGGGCTCAGTGGAGCTGTTTGTAGGGAGTCACTTTTCAGATCATAACCCCCCCTCTTTCTCCAGCTCTGTCAATCGGGATGATGATATCTACCTTCTTCAAAGGGCTATTCTGAGAATGACATAGCCCATGGGTGCAAAGCGCTCTGAATGTGACAAGTTCAGAGGTTGGGGTATTCTGACCCAGAATCTTGCATGGTCCATTCCAGAAACAGATGCCAGCATGGAATTGAGATCCAAGTTTGGAAACTAACACACACACACAACGTTCTGGAATGGTTTGATCCAGGGGATTGGTCCAAGTCCATGCCCAGACTTGAACGTTTGATGTCTCTCCCTTTCTGTTGAACTTCCACTGTGCAGACATTGCCTTTCCCTTTGCAGCAGCAAAATCAGCGTGATCTGCATGATGGGACAGAAACCCAGTGCAGTGAACTTTCATAAGGGGGGGAGGGATAGCTCAGTGGTTTGCATATTGGCCTGCTAAATTTAGGATTGTGAGTTCAATCCTTGAGGGGGCCACTTAGGGATCTGAGGCAAAATCAGTACTTGGTCCTGCTAGTGAAGGCAGGGGACTGGACTCAATGACCTTTCAGGGTCCCTTCCAGCTCTATGAGATAGGTATATCTCCATATATTATATTATAACAGGATGCTCTGGAAGCATCGCCAATAGAGAGAGTATATAGCATACATTCATCCCCGTGCACAACACACCGTGTCCAATGCAATCCCTCTCCATTTTGCTCTGGTGGCCTAATGGCCTTCCTCGTGCTCTCTCAGACATATTTGATGAAGTTGAGCCGAGTTACCGTGGCGCTCGGCGTGTCAGCCTTTTGTTTGGGACTTGGCAAAGCATCTGGGGGCACTGGTGGTGTGAAAGGTTCAGTGTAAGCTCATTAGTGGATTACGGTGCTGTAATTTCAGTCGCATGCAAATGAATCCAGGTGCACGTCGAGACCGGGAACCCACTGAATGTTCCCAGCTGCTGCCGTGTTCCTCCGCTCTTCCCATTCAGTGCACAGGATACATTATTATAAGGTCACAATGAGCTTTCTTGCAGGTCTGGAATGCAAAGAGCAAACCTGATGGTTGTTTTAAAAGACTGCCTGGGAGTCGTTGGTTGTTAACGCGACTCATTTCACCAGCCGGTTGTGTGAACATTTAGGTGTCTGAGACAGCAGTTGCCATAAATCACTGTTATAAAAAACACTAGGCAAAGATTTTCAAAAGTGATTTGGGGTCACCTTAAAGGGGCCTGATTTTCAGCAGGGCTGGTGCTCGGCCCTTTCTGAAAATCAGGCCATATTAAGGGGGGGTCAACTTGGGCCCCAAAGTCACAAGCCACTTTTGAAAATCTTGGCCCTAAAGCCATGAGTAAGTGAGTAGAGGATCTCAGTCCAGTGGCTGGTGATCACGTGGCCACCTGGTGGACATGGCACAAAACTGGCGGTGATGGGCACCTTTTGCTCGCAGTCTTCAGTGAGACGCGGATGACTGAATGTCAGGGAAAAGGGAGTAAAACCAAAAAATAAAAGGTTTGCGTAACATACCTAGATTTATGCTTTGCATAAACTAAATTAGGCAAGGCAGTCTCAGGCCAGGTCCACACTAGGAACTTTTGCTGGTATTATAACATTGATTAGGGGTGTGAATTTTGTCTGACACATCGATACCGGCAAAAACCCTAGAGCAGACACAGTTATACCGGCATAAAAGTGCTTTTCTTGGTAAAAGTGCTTTTCTAGGGAGGCAGTATAGGCTTTACTGGCAACAGCACTTTTTTACCAGTATTAGCTATGTCAACACCGGGAAGGTTTGCTTGCATACCCATACCAGTGTAGTTATACCAGCACGTTTTCTTCTAGTGGAGACTTGGCTTCAGTTGTGCTCAAAGATCTTTCTTTCCCCTGCAGCTCACCTCCATCTGGGGCAGCCAACCCCCCTTCTCCAAACCAGTTTCCCCAGACACCTACACACACAGTAGGGTTTTGGACTTACTGCTTTCTCTAAGACTTTGTCTAAGCAAGGCCTAAAGAGATGCTTCGTTGAGGATATGACTAGCGTTAATAGCTACCTGTCAAAGGTTTAACACCCCATCACAGAGATTCCATTGCACAGAGCAATTTGCCCATGGAGTAAAATGGTTTCTGATGGACCATACACGTTGTATCTCCAAGGAGATGGTTTCATCTGGCTGGGGGGGAGACTTTTCTACAGTTGAATCTTTCCCTTTCTCCTTGTGCCCACCCAATGGTTAGGAAATATTCCTTCATTGGCAGATACATGCAGCCCATCACAGAGATGTGACCAAGGGGGACGCTGGAAGCTTCTCGGACTCATAGAGCTATAGTCCATTCCTTGCCATTGGAGGATTAAATGACTCGATTACTTGAAAAATAGTCTAGACAAAGCACTGAAAAAGTACAGTGGTGAAGTCCAACACTGCACTAACCGATCTTCCTAGCTCCTATTTCCATGGTTCCCAGTAGATCTGGTTAAGACAGTCATCAAAGCGATCACTTTCCTTATGCATGCCTCTAGAAAACAAGCCTTTGAGCTGTCCATTACTTTAGCTACTTCAGTTGAGATGGGGGGGGAAAGAAAGCCTGGGGATAACCCAGTGTGTCGTGTTCCTACTATTTCAGCGCTGGCTACGCAGCTAAAAGCGATGTAAAGGCTGGTCATCTTCCTACTTTAGCCATCTGTGCATTTTCTATACACAGAATGCTCTTGGTTCATCAGGATCACCCTAACGGGGTAGGGGTCTAATCCACTGCATGAAAAATTACTTTTAGCTCAGTTTCTAAGGCAATTTGCTAATTTACAGATGACTCTTGGGTATGTGAACATTGATCAAACCAGCTTAAGCGGAGCAGTTTGCCTAAATCAGCACTTTCTCAATGAGTAAAACTGGGGCCAATCACCCATGTTCTCAACCAGAAAAGGGGTTTTGTAAATGGGCATTCTGGTCAGGTTCAGGTTATTAACATGCACGTTTAAAAAAAAAGTCAAAGTATTTATTTACTAACATGCATTTATTCAAATTGGTTGCATCTGTTCTGTAAACTGCTTCGAGAAAAAAACCATCTTGGTTCACACACATTTACATAGTATTTAATGAATGATGAGTTACACATTTATGAAGCATGTGTAAATGGCCTATTTACATACACAATGTAAACCATGTACATTTCTTTTTTTTCCCCTTCATGCAGTGATATGGTATAGTGCTGCCAGTCACAATGCTATGAATAGAAATCCATTCTAACAGTGGATCCAGTGCCCACTGAAGTCCATGAGAGTCTTTCTATTGACTTTGGTGGCCATTGGATTGGGCCCTGTTTTTGGGTGCTTTGTCAAAGTTTGTTCCTTTTAACAGCCGGGTCTACATTAGGAGCTGTTTACCGATATAGGTATAACGGTATGGTATAATGACAAAATGTTTTTAGTGTGGACACTGCTTATACTGGCAAAGCTGTGTTTTCACTGGTGTAGTTTATTCATACTCCACACCCAAGCTAAACAAGCTATACCAGTAAAAGTGCAGTTTTTCCAATATAACTGCCTCTACATTAGGGGTTTATGCAGGCACAGCTGTGTTGATCCGGGAACATACCTTTTCACACCCCTGATTGACATGCTTGTAGTGTAAACATAGCCTTACCATAAGCCCAAAGGTAAATACAACATCTACCAACAGAGCACAGTGGTATCCGAGATGCTAGCGGGTCTCCCATTAGTTGAAATAGGATGTACCTGTCCTATCTCAGATACTTGTATTGGTAAATATTGGCTTTAAATGGTGACCACTGCAAGTTTGGGCAAAATCCATTCAGTTGGCTTCAATCAGCTGACCCTCAAAAATAGTCTGAATACGTATTTGTCTGTGTGTATATGTAGAGATCTGTCTGGGTACATAAATGTGTTTATATGTCTAACGTGTATGTGAGCGTTTATATATATTTATATAAGACCAAAATCTTCATTTACAAGCCAGGGCTTCCATTCCATTTAATTACTTCCCTCGCTGCTTTAAATCAAAGACCAATTCAAAACAGAGCCGCTTCTGTTAAACTTAATTATTTTCTCCTGCAGCTTATAGGGTAAAGTGGTGGCTACTAAAAAGGGCACTTCCTAATTGAAGGTTGGTTCTAAATGCCATCCTTGTATGCATTCCCTTTGAATGGCAGTCTGGAAAATACCAGTGGTTTATTTCCGGGAACTCGTCTGCAAAGACTGAGCAGAAAGAACTGACTCATGAGGCTTGGGGCATCAATTTTCAGAGGTGACTAATTGGTTTTAGGTGCCTCGGTCTTCCAGGGCTCAACGTGATGCTTGGCACTTTCTGAAAACCAGGCCCCTTTAAGGCGTTTCCAGCTTGGCATCCAAAATCCTTAGCCACTTCTGAAAATGTTTGCCTTGGCGGGGAGGGGAGAGGGGCGTCTCCCTCCCACCTCTTTCTTTTGCATGTTGTGTGGAGTCATATTGGCTTTCGCACTCCTCCTGAAATATGGTAAGCATCTCTTTATTTTGTTCCAGAAGACAGAAAACTCTTTGTGGGGATGCTCAATAAGCAGCAGTCAGAAGACGACGTGCGCAGGCTATTCGAGGCGTTCGGGAACATTGAGGAGTGCACGATCCTCCGGGGACCCGATGGCAACAGCAAAGGTAAGACGGCTCGTGATGCACGGTGCGTGGCCCCTCCAGCCGGTCCCAACCTCTGTACAACAGTATCCATTAGACTAGGGTGACTCAGTGGCTAGATGAATGTCGCCCCTTGGATTGATTAGGGCCAAACTTTCCAATTAAGGTCCCTAAGGAGTGGGTCAAACTCTCTGCTGCTGTAAATGGGCCAAGGTCCATTGAAGAACATGTATACCAGCCGAGTTTGGCCCGGTCTCTGCAGGATATGTGTGCCTGAGCACAAAGGGCCAGTTGCATGCATAAAATACATGCCCACAAATGATTATGTGCGTAACTTCTTTGCCTGCATACCAGCTTGCATGCATCACTACTCACCTTGTAAGTGCATGTTTTGTGGGCACCACCTAAGTACTTATTTTTGAAAATGTGCCCACCCATATTCCGTCAAATTTGCTTCCATAATCCGCCCTGAGGCAATCCAGAGCCACGTTTTCCTTTGTCTGCGTTTGAGTACCTTCGGGTGAAATGTGCTCATTCATTCTCTTAACAGAACCAAGTGTTCCACCTGCCATCTTCAGCCACTAGCCCTTCCCAAGTCCCAGATGATTTTATTATGTGTATTACAGGCCCCAATCCGTATTGGGACCCCATTATTCTGGGCGATGTACAAACAATAAGAGACAGTCTCTGTCCCATAGAGCTAATAGTTAAATAGACCAGACAAAGAATGGGAGGGGGGAAAAAGAAGCCCGTGGAGAGAAAAGGCCTCTCTAAGCCCACACAGCTGCCTAGCAACAGAGCCAAGAATGGAAGCCAGGGCCCCTTTCTCTTCTCTCTCACCTCCAACACAAGAGTTCCTCTTCGTTATCATGTGTAATTCTCACTGTGGCCACTCCAGGCTAGCAATACTCCCGCCAATACTACAGGAATAGTGTTTTAGGGTTTGCTGTTGCACCCAATGAAGTCAATGGGAGTTTGACCATTTCCATTGGGAGCATAAGCAAAAGTAACGAAACACCAAAAGAAAGGCCGTTCTTGTAGTATGTTCAGTAGAGCTGGTCAGAAAATCCCCATTATTTTTCATGAAAAACATGTTTTTAAAATGGTTCTTTTTCCCCTAAATTTCCAAAGAAATCAAAAACTGAAAAGATGTCAATTTTCACAAAAGAGATGTGGTTAAAATGTTAAATTTGGGGGTGTCACTGGGTGGCTGGACCTTTAATGGGAAATGGGTCTCAGCCTCATCTGCGAGATGATTAACTCCTCTCCCCAGGTGGGGAATATAAAGATGGGTCATGTGATTCCATCAGGCTTCCCGGATAAATAAGGGAGAGGCCTGGGAGAGGGAACGAGAAAGGTCTGGAGAAGGTTGCTGAGGGCTGCAGAGAGCAGCAAGCCTCCTGCAGGAGACCCTGAAATAGCCAGGACCAGGCATGCCGCAGAAGATGTGCACCTGCTGGTCTCTGAGCCAGAGGGAGTTGGGGAAGGCTGAGAGTCAAAAGAGCAGAGCAGCTGGAGGGGTTTGCCTGCTGGTCTCTCAATGATAGAGAAGACAACTCGGGGAGAGTTTTGGATCCTCTCCTTGGGAAAGGAAGGACTCCAGGTAGGAAAGCCTGTGAGTGGCTGCTTGGAGAACAGGGAAGGACTCTAGCTAGAAACGGTTGGGACTGGCTGCTTGATGAAGAGCAGACTGGGCCTGAAGAAGACCTAGAGCTCTGAATGAACTGTTGTGTTGTGGGTCGATGGACTTTATTGTGGGATTTTGAGCCTTGTTTCAACTTGTTCTTTATTAGACCAGCCCCAAACAGGGGTGTTATTAGCCAGGGGAAAGCCTTTGTGGATTAGTTCCAGGAACCTCAGAGGGAAACTGAGGCAAGGCCGCCCTTGGCCACAAAGAGGCAATCTGGAGACAGCGATTCAGTTACAAGGGGAAATAAAATTTCAAAACCCAAAATCTTTTAGCCAAAAAATTGGGGGGAGAGTGCTTGCTTGTGCCCCGCGCCCCCTGAGAAAAGTCAGGTAATTTTGACCAAAATAAAAATTGTCTATGATCAAAAAGCCAAATGTTTCAACTAGCTGTAATATGCAGAGCAGTATTGCAGGTTCCAGGAAGCATGCTGACGTCTGAGTATGGAGAGGAACTTCTGAACTTGTTTTCTTATTCGATTTTTGGACATTTAAAAATAGAATTTACTCCACCATTAGCAGAATCTAAAATCAGTGAAGCTAGCAGTGTCCAAGGAGGCAGAATGGTGCAGCTGAACTGAGAAACCAGATTTCTCAATTCCCTGTACTGTGCTTTTCCTAACTGGAAATGGTAGAAGCCCCATCACTTAAAGCTGGCCTGGGCAAAGTGGTGAAGAATGTATAGGACGAAGGAAATGATCTTGCATTTTTCCCCAGAAGAATGGACTGGATAATCACATGGACCTAACTTTTGCAGCAAGGCACAATGCAAAGACCCACAATTGCATACAAATAGGAATCTACACTTGTAAATAGGTAAATACACACAAAAGGGCCATTTTGCATGTGCATATACCCACTAGCTTGTACAAACTGCAGGGAAACAAATGCACATACATTTTTGAGTGTGCGCCCGTTGCACCCCGATTTAAACAGTGTGCCTCGTCAGTCTTTGCCATCCCCAATTTAAAAGCTCTGATATCGGGTTTCACAGACAAATACTTAAAATGTGAAAATTGGTCTCATTGGATTGACTAGCCAGTTGTTGGCCCTTTTGAGACAGTACTTATCACCTGGACGCGTGGAGCTGGGAGAGTTCTGTCCTTGAAGCGTGGCACATCACAGCCTTTTCTCCAGCATCAGCATTTGAACAAGAATTTTCCATCTAATATCAGGGTCATTCTTCCAGCCATTTCCTAGAAAAGTATCTTCAATTTAAACAGGAAGCCCTCCTCTCTTGACAGTGAAATGCATCCATTAAATATTGATCGGCATGTAATATTTCATCAAATGTGCTGGCGTGTGTGAAGAAGACACCAGCCCTGTTGTGGCAGTTCATATGTCACCAGATATTTTGACATGTGACAACATCGACGGGCATATTTCTGCAACACGAAGACGGAGGATCCTAACCACAGTGACACATTTGAGAAAGACACTGCTATGCCTATAAAGTCACTCTCAGCCAGCAAAGATTCTTCATCTTCAGACAGGCCTCAGCTTGTCACGGTGGTAGGAAACAGCCGGGGGAAAGGGAGTGTGCCGTCCGATATACTCTCTGCTCTGGGGGTGAGTGTCTGGGGAAGTCCAACACCAAGAGCAGAAATTGGATGCTAACAGTGTGCAGGGAGGTAGCAATCGTGGCAGAATGGCAGAATGGGAGGGTCATTCCGCACCAGAGGATCTCAGCTTTCTCCCAGCCACGATTCCCTCCAAGCCACCTACTTTTTAAGGGTTTGATCCAATGCACATTGAAATTAATGGGATACTATCCACTGATCTGAATGTCTGTTGAATCCAGCTCTTATTCCGTGGGGCTCACTTTTCAGCTTTTTCACAGTCCCATGTGATGCATCATTGCTCCCTCTGTTACTCCTTATGGAAGTATTCGCCTGATGGTAGCTAGAGAAGAAGACACACACACACACACTCACAAATGCCAGCCTGTGTCTTGATGTACTTTTCCCACCCCTTTTGCAGACCCATTGTGAGCTGGACAGGTTTGCCTGTAAGTTACAGCTTCATCTCTTGAAAGGCTGGGACTTAAGAACATAACAGCTACCATAATGCGTCAGGTTAATGGTCCATCTAGCCCAGTGTCCTGTCTCCCACAAAGGCCAGTACCAGAGCTTCCAGGGGAATGTACAGAACAGGGCAATATTGGAGAGATCCACCCCATCTTCCCCTCCCGGCTTCTGGCACTTAGAGGTTTGAGGTCACCCCGAGCATGGTTTTGCATCCCTTCCCATCCTGGCTAATAGCCATTGATGGATCTATCCTCCTTGAATTTACCTAGTTCTTTTTTGGAACTCAATTATACTTTCGGCCATCACAACATGCTGTGGCAATGAGTTCCCTGGGTTAATTTTGTGTTGTGCGATAAAGCATTTCCTTGGTCTCCCTCTGTCCTTGTAGCTCCTCGTACTGTTCTGTTTGATCCTGCTGTTGCTCCGTCGCTGTAAAGCAAATTAAACGAGTGTAGTGCCGGTGAATGGGGCTGGATTGACAGAACACTCATCTCCCCCACTGCACGCCCACCTCCCTGCCATTCTGCCAGTCTCTTCCCAGAGAGGGCCAGTCTCTAGGGCAGTGGTTCTGAACCTGCACCCCTTTGGTTCTCAAAATATGTTCTCGCACCCCTTATCAAAAACTGTTGAAGTAGGTCAGTTCTTTAAACCTAGATATATCATAACTATAGAACGAAAGAGCTAGAATGATATATTTATTTTAATTTCGCAGTAAAATTAAGAAGACATGACAAATTACACACTTTTTGTAGGTTTACCGGCTCAGTGACTCTTCTGCTGTTGCTCTTGTTCAATGATGTTCGAAAAACGAAGAACTTTTTTTGAAATACCCACACGCATGTCATCGCTCGCATTTAGGCGGTTTCTGGCCTTTGTTTTGATGTGTAAGAGTGATGAAAATCTCATACAAGTACGTAGTCGCAAATGGCACAAGGATCTCCAGCGCTGTCTTCGTCAGTTGTGGAAACGGTGGCTAGTTGAGCACCCCAGACATTCTCAAGTGTCATTGTCTCAAACTCCATTCGGATTCGGCCATTGGCTCGTAATTCAATGAGATCATCTTTCATCAAATCACTATCGTTGATGGAATCCAGGTCAAAAGGAAATGGATCCAGTATGCAGTGGAAGTAAACTGTAACCGACGCGCTAACAGTTAGCAGCTAGCTGAATTCAAACAAAGCCACGACCCTGCCACATCATCATCTGCGAATGCATCAAGAAATACCCCACAACGTGGCGGTACTTGTGCTTTGTAGTGAGATAATTTCACTACAATTAGCTTAAAAACTTGAAAATAATTTTTTTTGTTTG